TGTTGCCATTGATATTTTGCATGCTATTTATAAATTAATGATTTGTAACAATTCTTCTCTCTCTTATCTCTTGTAATCTCTCATACAAAGTTGTACCTAAGATATGAATAGTATAAAATAAGAAACATCAAATTGTAGTATAAATACCATAATTATAGCACAAAATGCAACTCTGCATCCGCGACAATATTAAAAATAGACCACAGTTTTTTTCCTTTCATTTTTATCTTCTTCGGCTTTGAATCAGTTTGAATAAAAATATCGTTTTTGATACGATTTCGATATTCAATTTTTTATATCGACATATCGGATCAAAATATATCGGCCAGAAATGTTGATATATTTTCAAAAAAATATCGATATATTTATATTTTTTCGGCATCCCTAGTATGCAATAAAAATAGGTTTTCCAAAAGATTTTTTTTAGCTAAATCTATACATTTTAGAGCAGCAAAAAACATATGTTAAACTTGATCTTAAATTCTAATGGAGCATTGTTTTCAAAACATATTCTCACTATATTTTATGAAACTACCTCTAAAAGAAATTCAAATCCAAAAATGAACGAAATACATCAACAAATCTTAATGAAATTAAATATCAGTGGTGTTAGAATATCTTAATAACAAGGATTGTTGTCTTAATTTGTTGATTGAAGTAAGATATTTGTAAATATTAATTTAATTCATTAAAATTAATTCGAACGCGACGACCAAAACACTGCGCCACCGCGGCGTTGTTTCGGTTCCCTTCCATTTCCACACGTTGAATTGAACAGCGAGCGCTGAGGTGCGTTGCTATATGGACCTATGCCGCTCGTCCTCCGCTCAACGTTACGAAATATATTCTCTATTTATTTAATTTTATTAGATCTTTCGAAAACACGAAACTAAAAAATGAGTATTCACATATTTCGTATTTTTAATTATTTGTACTTATTAACAACTAAAGCGTGGCCAAGAATCGCTATTCTTTTAAAAGCAAAGTTCGTGAGCACATGCTTAAACAACTGTCAGCAGAATCAGCTCATCGTTAACTTTTTGCAAATGTTTTATAATATAGTGTATTTATTGTTTATAATACATATTACGTTGTATCAATGTAATATCAGGTGAACCGCCAGATCGTTTGCCACTCTGACATTAAAAAAAATCATGTTTTAATATCTTTATTCAATATAGAAGTATTACACTTACATATTGACAAAAACACTACTACTGTCAACATTATCTATAAAAAAAAAATCATGTCTGTTTTATGGGAGCCCCTCTTATTTATAGTTTTTTTGTTTTTTAGTATTTGTTGTTATAGCGGCAACAAATGACAACGAAATACATCGTTTGTGAAATTTTCAACTCTCTAACTATCACGGTTCATGAGATACGGCCTGGTGACATATGGACAGACATACGGACATACAGACGGACAGCGGAGTCGTAGTAATAGGGTGCCGTTTTACCCTTTGGGTACGGAACACTAATAAGTCCCAGTAATAATGTCATTGATTAAAACAGGTAGCTCTAACCATCAACCTAAATGCATAAAATTGCATGCATGTCACAGTTTTGTTACACACAGTACCTTGCTGAGGAATAGTCAAATATTAACCGTCTTCCCCTATTACGACTATTGAGAGATATTTTAGTGGATCGTACAATCGGTGTAACTCGGAGACCCTTTTAAGTTGGCCGTGTCTACCGTGCAACAGTATATCTCTAGGGCCTTTTTAGGGTTCCATACCCAAAGAGGAAAACGGGACCCTATTACTAAGACTCCGCTGTCTGTATGTCCCTCTGTTAACAGGCTGTATCTCATGAACCGTGATAGTTGCAGAGTTGAAATTTGATCTGGGTATTTGTTTCCCAAGGAGGGTTGACGTTAGGTAGGCGCCTGGTTGTAAAAATATAGTTGTGCCGATCCCACCTAGGTGGGATAGGGGCAGGAGGATGACGATAACTTGTATACTTGTCCCTCTATTTTTAAAGTTCACGCTAAACGAAATCATTTGAGAGGCACTTCGAGAATTGCCCTTTGAATATTGGTTAAAAATGTCCAGATGGTGAATGTTTATTTGTCAAAAGATTTTTTATTGGCTTGGGGAGACTAACTTTTCCAGAAGCACAGCATGTACCATTTGGTTCATCGGCCCATTTTTTGGCAGAGCACTTAGAGCAGATCTTATTCATGGCTCCGATTTGGTCAAAAGACTGTTGAACTTAATGATCTGTTACTGTGAGCTAAAACTCTATTACGAACTCTAATCGTGGACTTTTATTGTCTTTCCCTTTAATCTTGTAGGCGTTGGGAACGCTCAGAACACGACTCCCTAGTGTGAATTTGTATATTTATATTATAATGCTCTTCAAGCCGCTGCAAACACTACTTGACTCTCTCCGACTTGTAAGACTATTTTCAATTTCCGGTAAAGATTCCTCATTACGACGTATTTTTGATGCCCTCGCCTGGAAACTATTTATATAAAGAAGAGATCTTTAAAATGATAAAAAAAAATTAAACTGCCTTTTTGTAAATAATGTGACACTTTTTGTAAATAATGATGTGTTCTGCAAAGTCGTAGTACATTATTTTATTCTATCATCAATAGTTTTCGCAGCGCACGCGATGTAAAGAATATTTTAGGTAATTTTTGTACACTTTGGGTTACATTATTGAAGTTTTAGTAAGGATCCCTATTTTTTTGAAAATATAATATAGCCTATATTAACCGGAGATAATGTAGCTTCCCAACAGTGAAAGAATTTTTCAAATCGGTTCAGTAGTTTCGGAGCCTATTCAATACATACAAACAGTCAAATCTTTCCTCTATATAGCATTGTAAATAATACACGAATTGGTGTTATTTGAGTGCCTCAGTTTCAGTGCGCTAGTGTCATATCTATCACTTTTATATATAATTATATACATTTATACATAATTCAAATTATAAATATTTGGGACAGTGACGTTAACTTTGGTATAAGATGTATCTTGGACTTTGGAGGGCTTGCCATGTATAACAAGAGTGTCTCTTTTAAGACAAGCCATTTATGAAAGAAATAACTACAACAAGATTGTCATTAAAACAATATATTGTCTTCAGTTCCGAGGACGGATAGAATCATTTTTAATACGTTTCTTCAAAATTTTTCGACTTATTTCAAATCTTCCTTGTACATTGTTTATGTAGTATCTGTAACGCCCTTGCGGTAGTTAATCGTATCGAAGTTATAACATGCTAATTCAAGTAATTTCCTTATAATCTCAATTAACAATTACTTTTTTTAAAATATACGGAAATTTAAAAAAAATGGATTGATTGCAAGAGTCACTAAAATCAGTTTAACGCTAAGCCGAAATAAAGGCATAATAAAAATTTTGTTTCCTTTTTACTTAATTAGTTTGTTTGAAAAATATTTTTTTTAATTATGGATTTTGTTTAACGTTAATATTTTTTTATGATTATTGGCAAGTAGCGTTAGACGTATGTTCATTTATTGTCGTGATGGTAACGACACGCTGTATATTTTTTTTAAATTCTTAATAATTTGATTAAGAGGGTGTTCCACCAATTCCACCACCCGATAACATCTGCCTATTAAAGTCGACAGCTATGTCAAAATTATTGCCTCAATTAAAAAAATGTTTCAAAAAAGTCCTTGCATTCAAATTCTGTTTTTATTTCAAACGAACTAATTCATAATTTAGCTCGAACATAATTTTCAAAATAAATAGTAAATTAAAATCTAATATGTTTTAATTAAAATAAACATATTAGAGATTTTAATCTTATTCTTTTCTCATTTTTTCTTTACTCTTATTCTTTATAAATTCAAAATAGTCCTAATATTGGTCTAATTAGTAATTTTTTGCATACAAGTGTATCGTTTTACTTGGTTGTGGTTATTGAACGTTATGGTTAGTTATTATGTCAGTATAGTTTTTGTAATATCGGATATCAGTTTCTTGTATCGATATTAAATCTTGTGACTTAGGTGATAGGGAAAGTTCCCTGTCACATAAGTCACAAGATAAAATGTTGTCCAAGCTTTCTTTAGAATGTAGTATAGCAAATGAACGCATAAAATCCAGGGTACTTGGTAATTATACAATGCAGTAGCAAATATTGGTGACATTAGGAGCAGATGGGCTATGGGTAAAGATAAAACGGTAATGATTGGCCCATACGGCTAAGAAAAATAAGTAGGACCACAAATTCTACCACATTATCCATTGGCATAAAGAAATTTACAAAAGTTTGCAATAGGTGTCACATTCAAATAAAACAAGAATTTTAGTCTCAAGAGAATTCATTCATCACCTCTCTAGCCTCGTTAAATTTAAAGTTTTCTGAATTACAGGGATGTATATTTTTATTTAAAAAAAATAGGATGAAATAAAAAAGAGGGAGTGATAGACACATTTATTATTTATATCCCACATACATAATTGATATTTTATTCGAATTGACGATTATTATTATTATTTAGAATAAAATTAACTATTATTACAAATTTTTATTTTAATGGGACAAACAACTTTAAAAGTAAATCAACAATTTTCTATCATATGCATTTGTGATATGTTGTCTTTAATAAATATAACAACTAATCAAAACAATTTGAAATATATTGATATGCACATAGAACATTCATGATTTGAATTTTTAATTAATTACATTTTCTAAGTGTTAAAAACTAAGACATCAAGAGTTTTAACAACAGAGCATTTCCACGAATTTAAAATATCTTTACAATAATATGGTATGGTAAAAATTGTTTAACTTTTATAATTATTATTTTTTATGAAGTTATCTAAAAACACTAGTAAGCGCTTTCTAAGGATTTAAAAAGAGGTATTATTAAATTTCAGAATACTACCTCTAATCAGTATTAAACTAACATCAATAATATTAAACTTTATATAATCATTGAAGAAGACTAATGGAATATCCTAAAAGACTAATATATTTAAAGAAAAACACTTTAAAAGTAAACAAATTATTGACGACGATCGGTGTTTTCTTGGTATGGTGCGAAGGATTTGAACAATCCAAAGTTCTCCATACGGCTATTCTCACTGTTGAACCAGAAGCTCACCGGGAATAACTAGTATTTAAACAAAGATAAATTAAAATCATAGAATTGGTGTAAAGGAATATATTGTCTAAAGTTAATATTCTATAATTTAAAATTCTTATGACACGAAACGTGGTAATTATTGGTGTTTACAAATGTATGATATAAAAATGTGTCAAGTTAAAGAATAAGTATCCTCAGAAAGTAAAGAATCAACCTGTACAGGGGGTATCAGGGCATAGTTCACCATGCAGCCCCACTGCGGATTGGCGCACTTCACACATCTTTGAAATATATTTTTTTTTATTCTTTCGAAAATATGTATGTTTCCTCACGATGTTTTCCTTCACCGCTGAACATGTGACGATTTAGCACTTGACAATTTCATTGGTGCTGGCACCGGGGATCGAACTCAGGTTGCTCGAATATATTAAATTAATGGCGGGTAGTGACTGGGACTGAGCTATCACGGCTCCTCAGAAAACTAGAGACATTTTTTTTTCTAGCAATAGATGTAGCATAGATCAGATCAGACCACACGTGTTTCATAGTACGGAGGTGGTAGACAGCGACTAACTAGGAAACGTAAAGCACTATTAACATCGTATCAGATGAAAAACAGGACTTAATTTTAAGGGAACCTGTTGTTAACTAAGATATGTCTTATTAAATAATCGTATTTAAAAACATTAACCTCTAGCATTATCATTGTGGTAGATACAACCGATTCATCCTTTTCCTTCTTGCAAACGTCTGAAACAGTTAAATGATAAACTGCCATTACTGACTTAATCTTGCTCACTAATGATATTAAAATGTACATAATTTATTAATGTAAAAATTATATAATGCCATTGATGAAATTATGTGTCATGATATCACTCTACTTCAGTGCCTAGCCGCTGATCTTCAATTAGAATACACTCGAATAAACGAATAAAAAAAAAAAAAAACTAGCAGTGGGAATCTAAATAGAAAAGTTGTGTGACTCGAATATTTAAAAGATAGCACAAATGTTAATTAAACCCGAACAACCCGTACAAAAGAAACCTGAACCTTGCAGGACTCATATATTCTGTGAGCTAATTTAACATGTGCCCTTGATGAATAATCCAAGCCCATACTTATAAAGTAACAAACATCTAATGTTTTTATTGAAAAGTCAGTGAATGCTGAAACTAAAGTAGTAAAATGGGATACAGGCAGGGATCTAAAACATGCTTAATCCACATTAAAACCGTGTTCTCACTTATGCAAAATTATTCGTGTCCGGCAAACATTATCCGGTATGTAATTGCATGAATTAGCGTATAACCGTTTGAAAATCTGGCACAAAAATATTTAAATTATTATTACATCGTGCTACAGGCAGTCCCACACTGCGTTTCCCTAACCGCGGTGGCCACTCTAACAGGTGTCGGCTCCAGCGACCATCAGTACGTCTGGAGACATGGCCAGCCAACTTCAACTTCAGCATGCTAATTCTGCGGTAACTATAATTCGGTAACTTTAGTTCTCTGGCGAATGACTTCGTTTCGAATCTCGTCTACCAGAGAAATCCTAAAAATTGCGTATTATGTCACTCGCTGAGCGATCTTGAATTTGTGGACCAAACCCACGATAGACTAACGACTTAAGAAAAGTGGCGGGCGGCGGATGGATACGGGCTGCCCAGGACTGGGATAGTTGGCGCACTTTGGGGGAGGCTTAAGTTCATCAGTGGACGGCAATAGGCTGATTTTGTATTGTAATATAGTACTTGCAAAATTGAGGTGTTAATTTAATGTCCAAAACAATCCATGAACCTCGAAAGTGACATCCAAAAACTTAATACAGGCATCTGGCCATGACACTGAAGTGTTGTGTGAATACGTCAAGAATATAACTTGTATGATAAAATTGATCGTTTGATAGAATTTACGAATTTGAACCGCACCTTGTGAAGTGGTGCCTATGGCGTTGGGGTCGTTCTCTTTAATAGCGTTGGCGTTCATAGCCATTATTCTCGCCGAGCGTCGGAGCCGGGCAAACGGCCTCACGCGGATAGTTCCACGCGCGGAAGGCTCTTTATAAGTCCGCCTATTACTTTCTCGTAGGCACTTTTTGTCTTCGAGAGCACTGCTGCCACTGGCCGGCGGCGTCTCTTGTTGGTTATTCGACATTTTTTTAAAAAATAATCGGCCAATTCGACTTAACGTGCAGGTTGTACCTGTGGTAAAATATCGCATTACTGTTAGTCGACTGAAGATATTGAGGATATAGTTTAATTAGTGCTCCACTTGGTGGTCAAGTGAAATCACAATCATATTTTTCTAAATAAAAAAAGTAAAAACGAAAATAGTGCTTTCAACAATGATATTACATACAAATACGACATAGATATGAAGCGCACCGAAACTGAGGCAGTCAAATTAAATCAGTTGGTGTAACTAGATTTCAATTCTATTGACTGCTATCTCTCACCGTATCATACGTTCTATCACATTCATTCATATTTGTCATATAATGTAAAGCGGAACAATTTTCAAATGCCACGCAGTATGGACATGCGTCATCTTTATAATAAAACATCATTGGCGGTCTAAGAAGAATGACATGTGATTTTAGTGTGTAACGACTGTAATATAGAAAATTAATTATTCCTTTTCTAGTTTTACTGTGGTAGGGCCACGCAGCAGCCTCGGCTGTTGCACGAATAGGCAGGCAAATAATTAAATTGTTTGAGAGAGTTTATAATTCTACATCTGTAATTATGCTATTTGTAGACGCTTGAGATTTCTCTCAACAATTTTTTCGCCATTGTCCTTTGTTATATAATCTAATCTTCTTTACAGATTCAAAAATCAGACAAGAATTGTACTTGGTTGCCGCTAAACCAAGTACAATTCTTACGCCAGTGTCTCATTGCAGTTCCGTGATCATGCAAATTATTCGAAAAGCCGTACATTTAAATTTAACGCGAAGAAATCCGTAAAATTGCTTTGTTTATTATTAAAAGATCAGACGTTCAAACCCTGAACCATAAAACTTTAACTATATTATCAATCAATTAAATATTGTGTGATTTATGTACACTTCATTGCTTCTACATAAACACTACTAATACCAAGGAACAATAATAAGACGTTATTTGTGCGCATGTAAATCCTGTACGTATCTTAATAAAATTATAGCTTAACAATATATTAGCAAAAGATATGTAGCATTAGATAGGATTCGTTTCAATAACGCGATGGAACCGCGTAGCACAATAAAGGCTTACCACATCTTTTTACAGATCACTAGAGGCATTCAAGAATAGTTAAAAATAGAATGTGACTTTAGAGCCTCGATGTATTTTGGTGATTATGTTTTAAAACTAATAAATTACAAACCAAGGTGATAAAATAAGCTGTTATATATTTCATACTTTATATATTTTCATCGCATTGATGATACAAATCTCATCATGTTCCTTGAGTTATGATGTTAAGCATCGCTATCAGTCAATACCTACTAAAAACCACCCCCATAATTACGAGAAAGTACAAGAGATCAATTGGAATAAAATACAGTTATCAATCATCTATTACTTTAATGTACAGTTTTTAACATAACATGTCGTATTGACGTATTAATTGACACCATTAAATCGACCACAAATCTTATTTACCATGTAGCACATAACAAGCAAATAGAAGATAAAAAGTAAAACGTAATTAGCAATAGCACTGATAATAACATGAAATTTAAATATATTCAAAATCTGTTATCAAGGTGTTGCATAAATTGTAGATGCACTGCTCAGTGGAAACATTAATGTAATCAGCCGTAAATTCGCAGGTAACGTGAAACTTCGCTTTGCCCAAACTGGTAATCGATCGAGTTGTTGCCAACAGGCGAATGCTTTTCTTGGTTTCAACTTGGGAACCAAGGCGGCAGACGGCATCGAAGAAACGCGGCACATTTTTTTCCTGGTCTATCTAACACGCCTCCGCGAGTGATTTTCGTTTTAGACACACGTACATAATAAAACAGCGTCAATTCTCAGTTTGCTCACGTAAAATATTTTTTTGTTTAAACAATTTTTCCGCTTTAAATTAATTTGAAAAATTTGACTCGCGGAAAACACTAAATCCGTTTCGCGAAGGATAATGTTATTATTCGACACTTTGTGCAGCATTCCGTGGTCAGTACTACGCAGTAAAAATATAAGCGCCATGATGCTTTGTATTTAGCAGCTGCAGCCATCAACAAATTAGGTTTGAATGACTGCGAACACAACAATCGAACCTGGAAGTTTGAGCGGCGTTTCGAACCCAGGTAAATATTAATCGGATGGTACCACGGACCGCTGCGCCATACGGCACATAAGCTCAGATTAATCACACAAATAATAGATAATTTAATACTTAAAACTTCGCGCGCCAATTATAGTAGAACAAACATCATAAGTAAAAAAAAAAAACAAAAAAGCAACAATTATTACGACGCTACATTTAAATACACTTTTAATAAATGGACTGTTAATTATAGTCGTAATAATTTACAAATTATTAGTGATTGATGAATGATATTTATCTTTATTTTTAATAATTATCGAATTAAAAAGTTAATTATCATTTTTCAATCAGTATGCAGTTTATAGAAACAATACTATATTGGAGAAGTAGGTACTCACAATTTAATTCTTATTCCTTTAAATTACTCCCAGCAGTAAAAGTTTCTATAAGTTTCGGCGAAAGTTCTGGGCAAATAGAACAGGTATATCTGCCGAGAGAACACGTTGCTTACTGATCGCCGCCCTATCCCGAGGCAGCTTGCAGCTAGCGACTACTACATAGACTGCACACGCACGACGCGATTGATATTCAACCTTCGTTTTACGACGATAAGGTTAAAAATCAATGGTGCGCGGATAACTCGTGACGTAAATGACTTGTACGCGTGTGTGTTGTCACCATTTTACAAATTACACAGCAATAATTGATTTTATTTTTTCGCGCAACTCAAATGATCTGAATTTGAGGATGTTAATAATAAGCGACACGACGTTCCCGTCTCGAGGCTTCTTGAAAATGGCAAGGCGCGTGGGTGGTATCGACGTTTATGTTCCCACTTACATACGAAACGGATCTGGAAATAAAATGTCACAGTTTTATGAATGTTACTTCTCTGTTTTTGCGTTTTCGTTAAACTATAAGAATAATGTGAGTCAATAAGTTTTTATCGGTATTACGATTTTTCATATTTTCACAAGGCTCTAAAATCAATTGGAGACACTGAATGGTGTCTAGAACGACTTGAATCCAAGTAGATAAATGAAAAGGGAATAATTTCGCAACATTGGCAACGTTAAGTGAAAAGCGACGGAACGATGCGACGTTGAACAGGGCTGAAATTATTTATAGAAAACATCGATATTGATTTGTAATTAAAGTTCTTCTTTTATTGAGCTTAATATTTTTTTCTTTATTGGTATTATATATATTCTGATATGTACAAACCTTATTATAAATTCGGTAACAGATTTATTAAGTATATTTTAATATTATCATTCCTAAACACATTTTGAAAATATAGTCTCATATACAGAGATGGATATATACAAATATATATCCATCTCTTCACTAGTGTGTTCATGAGGGCTCCAGAGCGTCTTAATATAACGTATCCTGCATGATATTCTTCAGATTTAAATAAAAATTGAATCACAGTCGATTTCTATCAGTTTCTACGTAGCGTCTCAGAGTAAGGAAGATTGCTACGATCGTACACATAAGTATCTACCAGATAAGCATAATTGGAAAATTTAAAGAAAGGATACCTTACGGTGGTAGGGCCACGCAGCCTCGGCTGTTGCACGAATGGGCAGGCTCGTCCGGGCAAGTTCCACGACCTCACAGAAGACCGGCGTAAAGTGGAAATATAATACTTTCGCGTTTCGTCTGGAGATTGAGGTGGCCGGAGCCCAATTTCCAAAAAGGTAAAATACATACGTGCCTGCGGTCGTGTGTATGTATTTGGATGGCACCAAGCATTGCTAAAAATGAAATAAAAAAAGAATGTAGATCTCGAGATTTTCATGAAGTGAGGTTATCAGCTGCTGGGCTTAGTTGCTAAAGTTTCTGAGCGCGAAATTCGAAGACGCAGGTTCGAAGCCTGCAGTCCGAAACTGAAAGTCTTTGTTCATTTATCTACGAAAAAATTAGAATTTTAAGTTTTTTTCTATCTAACTAATGACGGTTCTTAAAGTTCAGCTATAATCCTTCACTAAGCGTCGTTCCACACTACGGGTATATGAACAAGAGTTATAAGTTATCCGCAAAAGCTGTTCACTGGTAAAACGTACAAAAAACATATTCCTTTTTACCTTTTACTAGCTACGTCTTCTAAGACCATCGAAGTTTCATTTCAATCCCTTAGCATCTGAGGCATTCTTCAATATGTTTAGGCCCTACAAGTACAGTTTTATTTTTTACAACTTAAATTTTTGATGTGATACTGATTCAAAATGACTTATGGAAGAAAATACAAAACTAAAGGCCGATGATAAATTCAGATATCATTTTTAAATGTTTTGAAAGCTGGTTTGTTGGATGAATTAATAAATTTATTGAGGCTATATTTTGAAAAACAGTCGACAAATCTTTCCCTGAGACATTATTCGGGTGCATATTAAGATCTTTTCGAGTTTGCTTCACGCAGTTTTTTAAAATTTATTTTCATATTTTCAATCAAAAATATTAAGCATGTCGCAACAAACTATAAAATAAAATACTCAATTGTCATAGCCTGCTCAGTAAAGAAAAAAATAGGTAAAATAGTCCCGAATTATGCAAAACGGTTTTAGTGGTGTGGTTTTAGTTTAAGTTGGATACTTCGTTTTTAATGCAAGGGGGGCAAACGGACAGATGCCACACCCTATGGAAAATGATCACCGCCTCCATCCATCAAGAAGAGAGCATATTCTTTTCTGAAAGGCCAGCAACACATGCTACTCCTCGGGTGTTGCAAGTGTTCATAGACGGCGGTAATCACTTACCATCAGGTGAGCCTCTTGCTCGTTGGCTTCTTTTCTCCTTAAAAAAATAATACTTATTGTATTATTTGTGTAGTATTAGTTTAATACTTATAGTATTCAATGTTGTGTAGTATCTAAAGAAAACTGGCACTGCTTTAC